AAAGAGTGGAAAACACCCCGATTTTTACAGTTCTGCAGATACCTCTCCCTATCTCCCTTCCTTGGCAGGAGCTGCTATTCCTCCCCGTATTCTCATTTTTTGCCTTGCTCATCTATTTTTCACAAGGGTCCTCAAGAAATTTAAACAATAAGACAGCAGAGATGCCAACGGTGCTCGAGCAGGACGGTTTTGGATATATTCCTCACGTCGCCTTCCCAATTATTGGGAAAGTAAAAGAGAATTAAAAGATTTAGTTGATCTCTGCAGTGTTTTGGGGTAGAAAGCTGCGAGTCGGAGATCTGTCAGCCTCACAGAACTCAGGTAAAGGAGTCCGGAACTCGGACATTCGGTTTTGATCCCAAAATCAGCCTAGAAGCGGCAAGAAAAGGCATGGTTTCCCCAAGTCACACTAACGCAGGAGGCACAACGCACTGGGGATTGACGCGTCTTTACCAAAAACATCCAATCCCAAACCAGCTGAACTGGTTTTAAATTACTGTTCTAATTCCCATATATTTGGGGAAAAAAAAAATAATCAAAACAAACCAAGGTTTAGCCCGGTGACTGAAGCCTCCCGTTGAGAATTTAGTTTATGATATTTTTTTTGCTCTGCTCTGTTGCGAGACACGTGCGTCCTCACCGCCGTCCTCCGAGCACGGCAGAAAAATTAACTCATTAAATAATTCTCGGCGACCGTCCGCACCGAGAAGCCCAGAAGAAACGAAACCGTTTTGTCACTCCCCTGATAACCAGCGCGGCGCTTCTGTGCCGCGACAGGCAGCGCCGGAGCCCTGGACTGGTTAACAGGTCACGGGAGGAGCCGCATCGGCTTTTGAGTGAAAAAAATCAAGATCTGGGTAATGCTGGGAGGTGAAGCAGATGGATTTGGAGTAGGAGTAGTCCTGGAGGAGCGTGTCAGGGGGTAACACCCTACCTTCCTCCGCCAAATCACCCCGAGTCCCGTTCTCCTGGGGAAAAAAAAAATAGAAACACAAAAAGACGTTGGTGTTATTTAGGGAGAGTTGGAGGTTTCACAGCCCACCCGCTCAGATCGCAGAGAGGGCGAAAGGTCGTACTTTAATTTGGGGATTAAACGTCCCTTTTTATAAATGTTTACAAAATAGCGCAGTTTTCCGTAACATCAGCTTATACGTCGGCGCTAAAGTATCGCTTCTCGTTATCGAAATTTAAATGCTTGGGAGCTGAGTCATGGCTCCGAGGAACGCGGTACTGAAGGTTTCACCCAGTCACAAGCACAACCAACGGCAACAACCCCCAGCCAAAACCAACCACTAATTGGAATTTAGCCTTAACGAGCCTCGCCCGACGCAGAAGTACAGGCGCAGGATCCTAAGCTGTCCCCTACAAGTGCTTTTTGGGTACGAAACTGCCCGAATCCCTGTTGAAGGGCATGGGGAAGTCACGAGGACCAAATATTCGCCCAGTATATGGGCTCAAAATGCTGTTTCTGGGTGATTTTAAATATTCTGACCCTCAGAGCAGTCAAAAGAGCAGAGGAAATTGCTCGAGTGCTTAAATAGTCCCGCATTTACCACAAAGACTGATTAAAAAAAAGAGTTACTTACACCTTTGTCAGCTTCATCTCCTGATTTTTCCTCTCCTTCGCCCTCATCTGCTGCACACAAGAGAAATCGTGTGTTGGGGGGGGTCTTTTCTCCCACTTAACGCTCCAAAGGGTCCCCAATAAATCCCTAAGTACTGCGATAACGGCCCCAGTAAACCCCAGTAAGGATCGCAGACTGGTTTCTCTTCGCTCATCAGTCCCCGCTGCAAACTCTGCCCTTACTTTCACAATGCTTGCCTCGGGCAGTAAATATTATCCCAGGCCACAAAATACCCAAAATTACAAAGCCTGTGGACTTGCAGGAGTATTATAAAAACGTTAACGAGTCAAAAAAAAAAAATACAAAGGCTTTGAAACGTAACAACAGTCAGCTGAAGGATAAAACACTTAAAAACGGGGGGGAAACGGAGAATATGAGTGGGGGAAGACGGGCTCGTACCGTTCTCGGTGTCGTCTCCTTCGCTATCGGTCTTTGCCTGTTTGCTGTCCGGCTCATCTCCGCTCTGCGACTGTTTTCGTTTGCGTCCTCCTCCCTCGCTGTCCGATCGCCCTCCCGAACGGTTTCGGAAACCTCTCCTCTTGGGCTAAAAGTGGGAAGAGATCAGCTGTATTCATCAAGTCGAGACAGCAAAAAAAAGCTTAAAAATCAAAGTTTTCCACCCATCTCCTACAAAGTTTAAATTCTTGTGACCCTGCAGAGTTATTTTTGGCTATAAAAGGATTTTAGTGCCCCAAAGGAGTGGATTTGGGACGGGGTAAGCACTCAGCTGCTCTATTTTAGGTGCAAAGGGGTATATATAAGCTTAGGGACACTGCTCTATCCAGGAAAGATTTGAATTATTCCGTGGCGGAAGCAACGGGAATCAAGACAGACGCTTCTCCCGTACAGGCAAAGAGCAAAGCAAGCAAAAAAACCATCTTCACAAGGAAAAAAAAATAAAATAAAAAATAAACCAGACAACGGTGACGACTTACCATGAGCGCGTTCATGTGCCAGGGCACCGTACCCATCCTGTCTCTGTTTCGTTGCCTCCCCATTCCGTACGGCATATTCCCATACCGTCCCATTCCCATGCCCGACATCCCCATCATGCCATAGTCATAGTCTCCGTAGTCACCGTAATCTCCGTAATCGCCATAATCACCGTAATCCCCATAATCGCCGTAGTCGCCGTAATCTCCGTAATCGCCGTAGTCGGGAACGAGGGCTTGGGAAAAGAGGGACGGGAGCCTGTTGGATCCGGCGCCCCCCATCCCGCGCCCACCCATGTAGTTCAACTCGTTCCAACGAGCCGAGAGGCGCTCGGAGCTGGAGGAGGGCATGAAGTGGTCGGTGCGGTTGAAAGCGTTCAGACGCCCTCGATTTTGAACGCGGTTTTGACCCCGTCCTCGGATCAGGCCGTAGTTGTTTCCTCGGTTGCGAGACTGATCCCTGCGGTTGTCGAACTGGCTCCCGAAGGAATCGTTCCGATCGGTTCCGACTTCTCCGTAATCGTAGCCGGATCGGTACATGTCGCGGTCGTTCATCGATGACCTCGAGTCGTAGGATTCAAAAGACTCGAATCTGAAAGAGCTGCGGAGGAGGAGACAACAGTCAGCAGCTACAACACCCCCCCTGCGCCTCATACGGGCGTTCGCATCCATTTTTATCGCAATTCAAATGCTTTTTTGGCCAGAAAAACAGAAAAAAAAAAATTTTTTTCAACCCTGTGAACCCATCGCTTTCTGTATCCCGCTCCACCTTTTCCAAAGTTTCAGGGAATATAAATAAATACCGAAGAACCGTGGTTTATTGCACAAGTACCTGAACAGAAATCCTTCGGAGATGTCCTCTAACTAACTTTACAGCACTAAACCGCTCCAAGTTACGTTTTGCCAGCAGAAAAGCAGATCCCAAAAGCCTCCCCAGGTAAAAGCTGCTCCTTGTTCTCCATTAGTTCTGCCTCCGGGTGTGAATTAACGCCGATAAACCCCCCCAGCACCTTGTCTGACCGCAGCAGCGAGCATCGAATGGTCAAAAAATGGCAAAATTTCATTTATTTAGTAAATCTTGCCAGGATCTGTATCATTATTTCAGCAGCAAAACACGTGCCGATATGAAACAACTCCGCAGACCGGCATTATTTAACCCAGCAGGAGAAAAGAAAATAAATTACTGTGCAGCCAGAAGGAAAAAGGGAACGCAGAGGAAAAGAGACTTGAAGAAACCTAAAACTCGACAAATAAAAAAGCCTTCCGCTGAGTCTCGGAATTGAATCGACAATGAAGCTGCTTTTAATGCGTACAGCGAGTTTGATAGGTGTGAGAGATTGATATGTAAAAGACACGCGTGCGTGCGCACACACACGTATCGGGACGGGTAATATATAAGCAGTTCAGCTAATTTTCCACGGAACGAACACCAGACGCGATTAGAACAGCTTCATCTTGAGTGCAGAGTGATTAAAGGCCGTTCTTTTTAATATTCAAAAAAAAAAAAAATTTTTTTAAAGAAGTGAAACAATCACCTCTCCTGGTCTTCCATCCCCTCCCCTGTCCCGCCGCTGCCTTCCTTCGACAGCATATCCAAACGCTGGTTGATTTTGGCTATGATGGAATCCGAATTCTCGTTTGCCGAAGTCTCGGCGCCGTACGAGGCGACGGGCATGGCGGCGTTGACGTCGGCGTTCATGCTCATATCCGAAGTTTTGGGTGTTTCCCAGCTGCCGGAGGTGGCAGCGGCCGCGGCGTAGTTGTACGTGGCCGCTG